CTTCGCCATCATGCTGAATTGCGGTAGTGATGAGCCATGGCAAATACTTTGCATCTGAGGTGAAACGTGGCATATCACGCTATCATCGCCTTGTGCACGCATGACCTCACTCACGGTGAATTCAACTACTTCCCCCCCACAACAGTGCGCTTGTGCTTACCTGTGTGTCCTCTCACCTCCGTCACCTGTCTGAACGTGCTAAGTGCGTGCCACCTACGGCATCGTAGCAGCTGGTCAAGACTTGTCGGTCAACTTTGCCACCACCCACACAGACAGTTCCATATAGAACAAAGTTCCTAGTTCGAATACGCTCTAGTGTGTTCCAACGAATCGCTCATAGTTGCAACCTACAGTGCACATTCAGTACCCATCTAGGCACATCTGCACCACTGGATAGCGCACAATGCATTACGATCCTCGCAGCTCTACTTTACTCAAATTACCACGTCTCTTCTAATTTCACCATCCCTTAACATGGATGAACAGCATCATTGCTTCTCTAAATCACCCATAAACGATAAACCGACCAAGCTACATTGATTGCATCATTCGGAGAGTCCTTTCTCAGAAGTTGGCTCTCCATCCTTCGAATGTGCGACTCACGCCCATTTTGGCAAAAGCCCTCATAGCTCATTCATTCCTGACTAAAATTCTGCCTATGCAACCGACCATACCTATTGTGCTTCTGTTAAACCGTCACTTAGACCTCAAAGTCAGAAAACCGGTGTCTTCAAATCAAGGCAATCATCTGCACGACCACTCGTTCGGCGGTGTGTTGATGCTGAACCCAATTGGCGGACGTTAGAACATGCAACTTTAAACAGATATACACACATTGGTGCCGAATAAATTGCACAGCCTGGACTTAACAATTTCCAACTTGTAAACTAGTCGAATGTGTTCCATCCAAACACGTACAAGCATGCAGGACTGTCATGTCATGAAGCGGTCTGTCAATAAAAGCACTGTTCAAAGTGAAGTCAACAATGCGGCTTTAGACATGGCTATGAGGTTTGGCTAAATGCGGATTAATCAAGTGTTTATGACGTAGCTGTACTAACATCTTCTCCACACCTTCCCAACCTACGATCAAGGTGCGCTTTGAAACAGTGACGGCTAATGTTCAAATGAACTCTCGGTTAATCACCAGGTGTTAACCCTCATTGTGATTAGTGGTCACGGTTGAATTTGGGAGCAAACGGCATCACCAATGGCTTCCACATTCTCCAACCTCTTGCTGCAGGTGGAAAACGAGCGTTGCTTCAACATTCTGTCCAGACTTGGATAAGTAACCCACAGAGTTGGCGTGAGGCAGCAATCGCAAAACCGTCTAGGTGATACGATGAGTCGTTAGAGTGACAGCGGAGACAGCTACACACAGTTGCATGACCAGACGTGGCCGCATGAGTGGTGGAGACTCCGTGGGAGAATTTAAATATCAGAGTGTGCTAGAGAATAGGCATAAGTTGAATGATAGGAATTGACGTTTATTCAGTAAGCGCCACAGTAGCCAAGTGTGCAGTTGTCCATCTGCGTTGTCCCAATACGGCCCTACCTCAAGCGTGTGTGTTCGCGAATGATTTAATGCATGCTTCGAGAACCAACAGGAAATGACTGGTAAAATAGTCAGATAAAAGTACAGAGAGCTCTAATCGAATTCTCATTCCATGTAAACGGATCCCACAAGACTGGTCACGTGTGACGTTCACCCCATAATAGCAGAGTCCTTTGCACGCATTTAATCTCTGGTTGAGCGATAGCCTCGGTGGAGTCAATGCGACCTCTCGCAATCACGTGATTGAGGCGGAGGAGTAATTTCAACCCCAACGCCTGTTGATTTGGTTGCGATTTGGTGTGGTAAGTGGTAAAACCTTGAATAGTTCAAGTGTCACAATGTCAGAAGTTAAAACACGCTAGTCTCTCACTTCAGTAAACAGGCTTAATAACCACACCCCACCGACGAAAACACAGTTATCTAAAAGCAGCTGTAACACTTCTACTGTGTGATTCATTCCGCTGCCTGTCTTTTTCCCTCTGTATTTGATATGCTCAAAAGATCAAACATCTGTATACAAAACGTGCTAGCTAACCGACTACCTCGATCGATATGATCACCAACTGAACCAGACATAAACTATTGTACTGCCAAAACCGATCGATATTTCTACTGTAATCCTCCAAAGGCCACCAGGTAATATAATCAATGATTACGAGAATATAATAGAATGCGTTCACAGTTTCTGACAGGAGGCCGCAATCATAGGTTTGAGAGTAGCTCAGCAGTACGGGGTGAGGTCGTGTATTTCTCGCAGCGATTGGCCTCAGCACAGAGGTCTTTGACGTCTTCACGGATGGCTGGGCACCAATTGACTCGAGGGGAAGTCCGTTCTACCTTTTTCGGTTCTCAATGTTCCAGGCTGATGTGTGATTGCGAGACAATCTGGTCTTCTCAGGTAGCAATATAACTACCAACTATACTTTATTGCATCTCACTAGGCACCTGTGTTTACGCGACCTTTACCTGAACTGTATTATACTGTTAAGCCGTACGGACTCAAGAGTTCAGGCCAACTGGAAATAAAAAGCTCTGGTTTGCTAGCAATGCATCACCACCTTGGATTCTTTTGGTCGGTGCTTGCATGGCTCGCCGCCTAATAGTGCTTATGGTGCTCAAAGAAGATATTTGTTGTCAGTAAATCCGCTCAAACCTCGAGAGCACTCTATAGGCAGAAGCTGTTGCTGATCGTGTGCCACCTGATTGTGCCCGTCCAAAAGCAGCCCTCACAGCCCTACCGGAAGTAGGTGTGTGTGCGATGAAGAGGAACGGTCATTCGAGTAGTTAGGACGTGCGAGCACAGTTGCTGCAACTTAAGGGTCTTAATCCAGCTGAATTACTCCTGCCATCCTTCAAGTAATTTCCAAAAGTAGATTTTCAAGGGCAGTCTATATTGAGCATTCGAGTCTCAGAGGTGTCTAAACGTTGATGAGTACAATTGTAAGATTCGTGTGAGTACAACGACTGCCATAATATGTTGAAACCACCTGCTGCCGCATTCATGTCATCAGATTCTCACCTCGACAGCACATTGTGGTGGCACATGCGTTTGTGTGCAATAAATGCTCAGACCCTAAGTCGATTGAGCAGGCTCTGACCCCAGAACAATTGCAGCTTCAGCTGATGAAGAAGCTCGAGCATTGGTGGTGCTGGCAACAATGAAAACGGTACCGACATATCGCTGGGAAAACTAAGATGTAAATTTTATTAAGGCAGTTGAAGGCGTGAGAGCCTCGCGGACATATTGTCACACAGGCATATTGCGATGATCAGCATTGCTCGCCACTTGCTACAATTTACCTCGCCCATAACCTCCATTCTCTGTCTCGAAGACGCGAAATGCAATTATTAGCAAATCGGCAACACTTCGACATGCACTGAAGATGTCACCAATTTGTCATTTCACTACCACCACCACTGACTCGACAGATTGTAAACCATTCATTGGAGTGTTCGTTATAGGCCTCGTCGTCATCTTCTTTATTTATATATCTGTGAATCGGTAGAACCGAGTGGCGAATTCCTTTACCCCACGCTCCAAAGTAAATACCATGCCTAATTGCATTACACGCAGACCACATAAGAGCACCTGGTTGTTGAGTAATTTCTTCCACTGCCTACTCCAGTCTCAAGAGCCTTTGATGAAATGGATTTATTCAAGAGTGGCTCTTGGTTCCATTGCCAGGGACCCACTTGCTTTGGCGACACTTCAAGTGGCTCTGTGGTCAAGTATGCACCAGGTACTTTGACAAATGCGAAAACAACTCTCTAGTGATTGGCGATGTGACAGTAGATGGGACTTGGTTGCCTGTGTGAAGCAAAGCTACAGATCCAGATTTATTGTTGGAGACTTGTTAGGTCATTTCCCTGCTAGTCTGTCGCTTTCATGCGTGTGGAGTCCTGCTGGGGCTAGTAATGAGTTCACCTTGAGGAGAGTTTGTGTTAGCTGGCAGAATTTACTAATTTGCACCAATGCACAATGAAAAGCACAAGCATAACACTGCTGTTGCCCCACCAACCAAAAAATCAACTGGCACAACGAACGGGATGCCGAAAGCCACCAACACTCCAGCTGCAGCCCTGTACCTTAAACTGACCCTCAAGGACACCGCTGTTGATGCAAATAACCCTGACCGAATTAATTCAAAACCACGTTAAAGGGCCAATCATGCACAACGACCCCTCCCCCGAAGCGTGTCTCGTGTGTTCGACCTTGAATACAAGTACGCAAGTAAACAAATTCACCGTGTAAAACAGCATGCGGTGCGAAGAACGTGTACAATCCTCCCGAAATTGAGGTGAGACCAGGGCACACATGAAAGGTGTAGGGCCAACCCTCTTCGAAGCGATGTTCACGCATCAGTGGTGGATAGAATTCGCCTGCACTCTGCAGCAGTAGCCGCCCACTTACTTGTAGTCAGAATCTTCATCTCCACACCATCTTGGACCGATTAGCTAGACGGCCAACACATGGCCCCGATCATAGCCACCCTGCACAAGACACGTCGGAAAGCACTGCCACCACTTCAATATGTGTAGGTTCAGTTGAAAGTGGGCTTGGGTCATTTGCGTTCCGGCACCGTCAACAACAAAGTTGTTTTCAATGCACACACTGGAATTCCATGATAAACAACAGACTTTGTTTTAATTTAAGGTCTTATTCAGGTAATCTGTGGCCCAGTGTTTGGAGGGTAGATGCAGGCCTTCATTACCACCTCACATGGACGTCAACCACAAACGCAAGAAGAATCAAGGTGAATCAACTTTCGAATCTCCAATCGCCTCTAACTCTCAACCATGTCACTCCTAAAACAAGTATGAAGTCTCATGCTAGTTCAAAAAATTTCTTTCAAAGCTGAATCAACAGGAATCTTCACCCGCCACCACCAATACGTCAACCACCACACTATAAGCACTGCACAAAAAAGCCATTCGTTCTAGTAAACTAGCTATAATAAACAACAACAGCAACACAATGAGAGGGGAATAGGCCAAGGTAGAGATCGTCAGTCTCCAGAGGGATGATGAGCCAGAAGACCGGAAGTTGAGGGGGCGGGTGAGGTGGGAGGGAAGGGGAGTTTGCCAGTTCCACAAAGTATACCAGTTTGAAGAACATCAGAAGTCGACGACGCCCGTGAGCGATTTCATCAACCTCGTCATAAGTGCATCTCCACATCACTCCACTGCACCCTGCCATCCTGCTACCTCACGGCTTCTCACACACACACAACTCCACGAAAACTGTCGTCTCCGGCACCATGCGTGATGCGCATGGCGTCTAGGCCTGGGACAGCAGCTTTTTGATGTCGCCTTCCATATCCTTCGTAGGTAAAAAACAACAAATCAATCCAAATACATCGACCTGCAGATGTCACGGGCGTACCTTGTTCAATTGTCACTAAATTGAGATCGTGACGACAACAACAAAAGCAACAAGTGACCACATGGTAGCAGCACCTTGAGAAAAGCCTATCCCTCCACTTAGCACTATTTCAGAAATGGTCATTTTCCACTTGACCCACTGCTTCTGCAAACACGCGAGAGATTGAGGATGAGTCGGCCTCATAGCCCATCAGACAGCGTTTGCACCGTCGTGGTAACATGCCGACTACTAGGTGCCGTGATAAAGCTTAGTGACAGGCCACGAAGTTTTTCTCCACTAACAAATCACATGACACGACTTCACTTACAACAACATCCAGTCATATTCGATTGTGGCTGGTTTTGCCGTTCACACAGCACAAGGGGACCGTTTCGGAGGAAAACAATAAATCAGCGGCCTAATCCACATTTATATCCGAAACTGACCTCGTAACAGCTACGTGCGATTTCTGACTGAATCAACACCATCAAATCCCAAGTACGGCAACGCTACCACAATGCACTAATTGGACGTGAGCACAAACTACACATTCACACGTCTTGGTACAGCGTCTCACCAACCACAGACACTAGTTACGGACTCTCCGAGTTGCATGTTCTCGCTTACCTTGGGATCGGTAGTCGGGGAGTACCGTTTGAAGGGGACACCATTTCTGTCGATGAGGAACTTTGTAAAATTCCACTTAATTTTGCTACAAGAAACAAATTCAACAGGCCTTGATTTCTCTGCAAACCACAGACGGAGGTAAGGCAAAATTAGCCAACTAGAGAGCGTTTCAACAAGATACTGGCCATCATGGACTACCAACGCACCAAGTCGTCGCTCGCCGAGTTGCCCACAACAAATAAGTTAAAATTGGAAACATAAACCTACATTGTGCACAAGGTCCGCTCCAACATCTTCGCCAAAATGACATGCATTCAAGCTACCCTCCACAACTAACCACTTGCGGCCCAACAGACTAGGACTTTCAAAATACACATTTCTCCGTTGCCACAATAAATTCCACTCAGCGTCTAAACTGACTTTTCCCCAAGAAAGTCAACAAGCTCCGTTTACCGAAACATTGCACTAACACCCACTGTATTTCAATCATCCATCCTAAGGCTGTTGGAGCCTCGCTTTCACACCAACCAATTCACCTGCGCACAGAAGCCCAGATCAATGTAACCGAGTTCGTGCTTTGTTGTGCTACACCATTCCAGCCTTACCCTCCAATCACCAGCAGTGACACCGCACAATGCAAACACCAACTCACTTTGAAAGCGTGCCTTTGAGGGTGTTCTGGAGGTAAGTGAAGAGGGGTATGGCGTCGGAACCATTGACGTCACACTTGCTGAAGAAATCGAAGGTGAGCTCGAACTTGCTTCGGGCGTTCTCCTTGATCTCAGCATTTGTTCCGGGCTCCTACACATGTCCAACAAACAACCACATCTTTTACGAAAATACCGCACAAATACAGCGTACACAACCTCTGGTTTGATTTCACAAATTAACGAACTTGTGTAGAAGCCACATGTGGACAAATACTCACCTGACCTCCAAACTGGTTGCACGGAAAAGCGAGCACACAGAGGCCCTGACTGCTATAGTTGGTATACAGTTCTTGCAGCTGGGCGTAATTCTTCTTGGTTAAACCTCAGTTTGTCGCGACATTTACGACAATGGCTACCTTGCCCCTACAATCGAAAACATTATCGTCACGAGGACGAACGCTACGATCAGCCTACCTGTACTTCTCCATGGAAACCTTGTTCCCATCGATGTCCAATGCTTCGAAGGTGTAGAACTGAGGCGAAGAAGTCGCCGACTGTGTAAAACACAAGCAAATTACACGCATAACTAAGGAGGAGGAGGAGGAGGCAACTTCACTGGCAACAATTCGCATGCAAGGTATCCAAAAAACGGTACAACTTTTCGTGGAATAAACTACGCACAGGCTTTGTGCAATGTGATGACATCACAAGTGTGTACTGTCAACAATGACAGCCAAACCAATCTGTCACAACCAAACCATGCATGCGTTTCCAAGGTAAATAATACATGACTGAGTCCTTGAATAGACACGCACAATGCAAAAAGTGAGGCCGAGAATGGCAACCTCATGAACGAACACCCCACTCACCATCTCGAATCCTCGATAAAAAACACAACGGCTGATGACACCAATTCTCATCAAATAACTTATACCACTTTGCTGACCTTGACAAACCAATAGAGACTCTACTGCAATTAGTTCTAACAATTTGTGTCGCAAGTAAATTGTGTTGCTCCTATTTTATTTTTTAGAGGTGTGATGTCTTTTTAACGTCTACAGATCATGTTGATGTTTGATATGTCTGATTTAGCATTGTACACTGTGCAAGTGTGTGATGTAAGTGGTTTTATGCACAAGTAATTAATTCAATCACATCTGCCCGTGGGTCCGTTGACATCAGGGGTATTCAAAATACCACGGCATCATCTTTTGGCGCATGTTAGGAAGCACATTGACAACTAATGAGTATTTGTGACTCCTCAAGATTGCGCCTGATTGTTGTGGCAAGGAGTTTCCCGACTGTGCACTGTGTTATTTGTCACACATTCGTCGAAATTCTGTGTTCGTCATTCTTGAAGACCTGCACACTAACGAAAGGCGTAATCAAGGCAGTTGTCTTTTTTCAATAATTGTAATCCAGGGTTATTACTCTGGTGTTTTAAAATAAATGTACTTTCATCTCTAACAAACAAAACACTGTGGTGTTTTGATCTAACTCAAGATTTCCATCTCCGTTGGCGGATATGTGGTAATAGTGATAATTTAGATTTGTCATGCATTTATCCAGCTGCTTATTGATAAAAGACACGTTTAAACATCCACTTCTGTATGCAAACCTCTTCTGTCTCTCTTATTATAAATGTAGTCATTTAGATACTTCATGGCATGTTTCATTATCCAGTACCTTTTGATCACAACCTCTGTCAATCGCTATTGTCGCATATCTGGCCTCATAAATTATACATGATTCTGTAGTTATAAGCAATTGATAGCTCAAAATCACGAGTCTGAATTCATCGGATAACCGATCGAGCATCACACTTTTCCCCCTGTTTTCCTTCGACTCAGGAAACTTCAAATCACAACACGCCACATCAAATGTGGGCAACTAACATGGACTTTTCACTTGGAAGACTGCACACCACTTTCGAGAGAGAGGGTCAAACTGACCTGAGTTGTAATAGAAATTAGAGGGCTAAATCAGAAATCAGTATCACTCAAAAAATGATGCAATTGGATGCCTTTTGCACATTGACACAATTGTGCGTTTCAGTTGGAGTCAAGTAACAAACTTCGAGTTAATGAGCCAGTGAATGAGGCAGTAAAGAGGCTGATGAGCCACCTGAGCGTTAAGTGGCATCGCGAGGATGTGGTTACGTATTCATCACATGGGATTCGACTTCAATTACCAGCCCTAGTTTACGAACCGGCAGAGTGCGAAATGACTACCAATTCTAATACAATTAAATGGATTTATCACGTCTGTAATTGAAATTTTAATCCTGTCCAGATCATTAGGCAGCGTGTACATGACGTTTAGCTATTCAAAATGTCAATTGTTATGTGTTATGTTGTTTCAAGCTTGAAGACCAAAACATCGACATTGCAGCTATCCTGGATGGGCGGTTGACGAATGTGAGTCTGGGGTTACGCAGAGGCATGACCAATTTTGGGGGCAGGCGTCATTTGGAACCTGTAGAACTATGAAATTTCGCTGCTAGTTGAGATATCTATGCAGACGATATTACTGGACACCCGGCTTTATGGAGGGGACAATCGATTGTGTGATAATTTGTACGTGTTGTCGAATACTACCAGGAGTGTTTTACGGCCC